CCCAGGTATTCAAAAGTTGGTCCCACGGTATGACAAATGTCTCACTTCCGGTGGCGAATATGTTGAAAAATAGCTGGACACTTGCTGTATCTGTTGCAATAAATATTTCCATGAAATTGTGTTTTGTTTCTGTAAACGGCCCCAGGGAAACTTACTTTTGGGAAGCGCCTCGTATTAATAAAAATAATAGGATTTGTTCTGTAAAATTTGGATTCAGTCAAAAGGCTGCACCTAAGGACCTATAAGGCCACATGTGGCCTTAAGGCTGCAGGTTCCCCATCCCTGGTCTACGACATCAAAATGTACAACGACAGCTTCCTTCAAAGCCATTCAAAATTCATCATAATTAACAATCATCGTGCATCTAACGCCATATAACTTATGCACCTGATGAAGCATCATAATGAACTAAGAACTGAGAAGAATTCGATGCCATTGATTCTTACGTCATGAAGATAAGTCCACTAGTTCCAAACTTTATTACGTATGAACAGTAAGGCTCCGTGGATAATAAAGCAAGTTTTAATAAGGCAAGTCTCATATCTCACGACTCGCTGACAGAGCCATTGTCTTGCTTTTAGGGTACATGAACTTTCATTTCTGAGGGCAAACAGTCTAAGAGGAAGTGGATTCTAAAATTACCTTTTGTTTACACAGATCCGTTGAGGTGAGACGCTGAAATTGGAAAATTCATTCAATCTTAGCGCACAGGGCTGGCCAATGTTCACAACAAGAACGTGGCCCAACCTAAAATAATTCCTACGCCGATGAAGTCTGAAGGTCTCTGACAACTGACGTTGTATTCTGCAATATGTTTACTCAGCCCCTGTCTAATTTATAAAATAACGAAGACATCGCGAAAAATAATTTTATAAATTCCTACTCCATTACCGAAACATCCCTCAAAAACGTGTTCATTAGAAGGCAGCTTTGGCTTTGTATATGTTTCTGGCAGAATGACAACTAATTGACAAATAAGTGTCTGTCGACTACATGAAGTACAACACTGTTGACTATGGTCTACTGCGGTGTGATATCATAGTCTTGTACGCAGTTACCGACTTTTCGAAAGAATTAATCGACGTGAAGGTGAGAAAGAGGTATTCGTCAGAGACTTTGCTCTCGAATCTCATACACCATTCTTCAAAATAAACATAACTTCAATCGATATTATCATCGATATTTCACATCTTTACAACCTATTTCTCCAAGCCAATTTATGGTCAACATATTATTAAAATGTAAACAAAAAATTTCAATGGTTCTCGACATCCCAATGATTCTACAATTAAGCATTCAAATAAATTTACAACATATTTACTGAGCACGTTCATAAACTCTCTCAGAACCAAACTACAAACCCCTAGGTGATATTTCAAGGTTCTCACAGCTGCAAGTATGAATTCCATTGTCTTCTCGGATTCTGCGCCGAGCAATCTGGAAGAAATTACGTTTCAAATGTGCTTGCTGCTTCCACGAGTATAAACACGTAATTACGATAATGCGTCAAATCCAAAAATCCAAAATCAAATTTATTTTTCTCATGATTATCTTATCGTATTTGGATTTCGGAAAGAGAAACTCTCCATGCGTCCAATATTTTTTAAATATCTATCCCCACACGACACTTCAAGATCCTAATGTTATTAAGATCTCAATATTTATACAAGTTACTTACTTACGCTGTATTTAGTCCTGACTATAAGCGTCTAATGACAGAATGAATGATTTTGACAATACAATAATTCATAAAGCTCAGCCAAAAATAATTTTCTTCATACTTCTCTGTTATGTTCAAACATTCTCCTCGGAAATTTGTCTACAAACACTCACGATCTAGGTAAGATTTCAAGGTTCTCGTTGAGGCGAGTATAAAGAAGGTTTTGTAATGGGTTGTTGTGCCCTGGAGGCTGGTAAAAGTTTACGGCCTCCATCAACAGGGCGATGGGCCCTGATGATGGCTGTAGCAAGTACCTCTGAAGCGTCAGTCGACTTCTAAAAGATTACACAGCGAAACAACCCAAAAGACAGCTATTTCACCCTCAACCTGCACATGAAAATGAACCCTGCTAAAACATGGCGGTTAAGTCCAGTAGTAAAAAACGCCTAAATGTGGTATTTAGGCAAACTGCTCAAACATGGCGGTTAAGTCCAGTAGTAAGAAAACGCCTAAATGTGGTATTTAGGCAACTCCCAACCAGTCAATAATTACTTGGGACACCCCTGCATAAAGAAGGCAAAAGCCTAAATCCGCTGAACTTTAACGATGCTTTAAATGTTACGGGGTTATATTCACGAAGCCATAGATCAGGATTTCCTAAAATATATATATAAAAAAAAATTAAATGAAATATATTACCCGGCTTTTATGCCAAAATTAAATTAAAAGAATATAACAGGATTATTATGGCACAATTTCACATTTGCGTTTCTCTCCACCTTTATTACAGAACTAGTTTTCTAGACAGCGCAGCCGTGAAACGAACTTGAACGCTGTGGGTCGGAGCGACTTGCTGCGAACGTCTAACCCTTCTGGCTGGGTCGTGTGGACAACACATCTGCGTCGGGAGGTCCCTGAATCGAGTCTTCACAGATAAAACAACCAACGACGCTGAGATATTTAGCTATTTCCTTCAGTCATACGCAAATAGCCGAGCACAGACCTACATATTTTTCATACATCTACAAACTTATTCCACTGCTGCTAATAAATGACGCTCGATGTGCGGACGAACAAGAGACGACAAACTCCGTAATAACGAGTTAGCGACTTAAGCCCTTCTTACAGAGTACAGAAATAAAGGTCGTTTTGTTTCATCCAGTCAACGCAGAATTTCAAATTAAGGACTTAACATGTTTAATTCATCTTAACAATTCTTGTCATTACATGACTTTCCTCCTCATACAACCCATTAGAATAAGCAGGAGGGAGTCACTTCTAAATCACGGATTATAAATTAAGCATGCTTGCCACTGGACCCAAGGTTCGCGGGTTCAAACCCGGGCGAGGTCGGTGGATTTTCAAGGGTGATAAAAATATCCGTAGCACGACTTCCGTCAGAGGGAAAGTAAATTTACGGCATGTAAAAGAACTGTATGATCAAAATTCAGCCATGTTTCTCACCCATGTCTCTTCTGATTCGTAGACAAATCAGAATTGAGTAGAATTTGCTACTCTGAGGCGACTAGGATGGGACAAACGGCCATAAAGGCTGTAACACATTCGCTATAATATGGAAACATATG